CATCGATTTGCTCTAGTGGGCCCAGTAATATCCTCATTTTGAGACTTGTTGTTACTGTGTTTGGCATATTGAATACGTCACGGGTAGCTTGCCAGGTTTTGCTGTGCAGGCGAGATACTCCCAGTAGCTTGCCGGGCTCTCCGAAAGGGGCGAAGGAATCAAACCCCACTTGGCCAGGCTGGCTGCGAGCAAGGCAGATACCCTACCACTGTGCTATCGCTCTAGCCCCCTCCACAAATACAGCATAGAAAAATCTAATTTCCACTGATATTTCTTTTTCTATTTCCTATTACTATTCAGCCAGTTAATGGTCACAACTGAAAATTTATTATTTATTTATTGTTGTATTGGGTCCCAAATCCCAGGTTTCTTGCAGTTTCAAGTGGTAGACTTGCAACTCTACCACTGAACTACAACCTCGGCTCACATTGATCTTTTCCTTTTGTTGGTACTGGAGGAAGCTACAGCCAGTGATTTTTCAGGGCTTCCTCCTGGCTCTGTGCTCAGGGTCACTTCTAAGGGACTTAGGAGATCATATGCATCATCAGGGGAATCAACCTGGGTCTGACGGCATCAAGGCAAATGCCTTACCTGTTAGACTATCTCTGTAGCCCCTACTGACCTCTTCAGCACCTCTTGATCATCCCTTCCCCTCCATTTTTCCTTCTTCTCCTTGACCTCACTCACTTAATATCTCTCTCCCCTCCATCTCCACACTCCTGACTTTCCAATCTATTACACAAAATGTTTGAAAAAACTATGCCAAAAGCCTGCTACCTGAACCTGTTGCCTCTTCTTTTTTTCTATTTCCCCCACAATCAAATTTAAAAAGGCCAAGTTCCTTGAGCATGGCATTGAAGACCTTTCATTTTTGGCTCAATCTCCCATTCCCAAACCCAAGAATTCACTGTTGGCTCTTCCATAGCCTAGCTCCCTTTCTTCCTTCCTATAACTCCTTCAGTCTAAATCCCATCCAAGTCCTCTGTATCCTTCACAAGGCCTAGTTCATTTCTACCACAAAGACTTTCTTGTTCTTAAGAAATTTCTTCCTCCAAAGCATGTCATCTTTACCTCTCTTACCATATTTTCTGTCATAAAATGATGATGTTATGGATATACATGTCCAATATCTAGTTCCTGGTTTTACTTCCTATCATCTACCAAAAAAGTAGCAGTGTAGCACTGCACTGTCCTCCCACTGTTCATCGATTTGCTCAAGCGGGCATCAGTAACATCTCACAACAAATTGTGAGACTTGTTGTTATTATTTTTTGGCATGTCGAACATGCCATGGGGCTTGCCAGGCTCTACTGTGCATGTGGGATACTCTCAGTAGCTTGTTGGGCTCTCTGAGAGGGGTGGAGAATCGAACCCAGGTCGGCTGTGTAGCAAAGCAAATGCCCTACCCGCTGAGCTATCACTCCAGCCCACACAAGTTACTGTCACTGTCACTGTTCACTGTTCTCACGTTGTTCATCGATTTGCTCAAGAGGGCCCAGTAACATTGTAAGACTTGTTGTTACGGTGTTTGGCATATCAAATACATCATGGGTAGCTTGCCAGGCTTTGCCGTGAGGGCGAGATACTCTTGGTAGCTTGCCGGGCTCTCCAAGAGGGGCGGAGGAATTGCTGGAGCAATAGCCCACACAAGTAAATATAATAAAATAGATTTATATTGCTTTGAGCACTCAATTAAATGGAAATCAAAGTAACAAAGGTAAATTTAAAACAATGTTCTCAGAGTGCACATAATTGTAAAATAATAAATATTTCAATTAGGTTTTAATACCTAAAATATGCTCTTTGAACAAAGTCAGGAAAAACACATGAAATGAATCCAACTGGAAAAGAAGCGAAACTAAACTGTCATTATTTGTGCATGGCACGATAACAAAGAAAATCATAGAATCTATGAAAGAAAGCCGCTACTAATTATAAATGAATAAAATAAAATGGCAGAATAGAAAAATAACATTTCTATTAACAAAGAGTGATTTGAAAAAAGGACAAATACGAAAAGACTCTACCGGAAAATAAAATAAAATATATCATCTGATTTGCATTTGGTAGAACTGACACTAGGTACAACTGGTGTGGAGTTTGGTTTTTAAAAGTTGAAATATAATTTTCTAATATATGTTCTGGTGGTCCATAAATCCCTGTCATAAAGGACACAGGAACTTTCACCATTTTTATTTGAATATACTTTAAAGGCACGCACTTTGAATAAAAATATTCTTTCTACAGTTTAAAATCTCCCTTAGCTTCCTATATAATTTAAGCATGAGTTAAAATGGTTGTGAAACATAGAATTTTGGAATATTATAAATCTTAACACCTTTAAGCCACTATTATAACTAGCACTGTAGCACTGTCCTCCTGTTGTTCCTCATTTGCTTGAGCGGGTACCAGTAACATCTCCATTGTGAGACTTGTTACTGTTTTTGACATATCAAATATGCCACGGGGAGTTTGCCAGGCTCTGCTATGCAGGAGGGATACTCTCAGTAGCTTGCTGGGCTCTCTGAGAGGAACGGAGGAATTGAACCCACTAGGCTGCATGCAAGCAAATGCCCTACCCACTGTGCTATCGCTCCAGCCCAATATTATAAGTATATCCATTTAATCACAATAACATAGTGATTCATTACCATGTTACCACCATTTTACATTAAAAAAATAAATGTATATGAATAAATTTTTCTTCTCGAGCTCTGTATTTTTCACTTTCCTCTGTACCACTTCATTCTTCAACATAATTTGTCCCGGTGGAATATATCTTTATGCCTGAAAGTTTGTATTAGTTTTTCCTTCAATGGCCATTGTATTATTCAGTACAGCTGATGGTACAAAAGATAATTATTGATTACATGTGTGAATTTGTTATCATTTTTATAAATTATAAATGGACCAAATGAGCTAAAGATGAGTGGCAGCACATCTTTCTCTGATAAGGATCTGTTTCTGTGCTCGTGGAAGTAGTACTTAGTACTGGAACGAAAAAGGGTAAGCACTAATCTATGTTGCATTTCCCAGCTGGGTTAATCTTCCCGTAACCCTGCTTCTTGAATCTCTTACTATACAATATAAAAATTTCCAAGTCTAATTCTTCAAGATACTGGCCAGGAAGAGATATGAGAGGTAGGAGTAAGGGGTCTGCTTGCCTTACATGTAGCCAAGGCAGGTTTGATCCCTGGCATAGTATATAGTTCCCAGAGCACTGCCAGGGGTCACTCCTTAGCACAGAGACAGGGCATAGCCCCAAAGTACTGCTGGACATGTCCCCCCTACTCCCGGGTCCCCCACCCCAATAAAACATGCACTGTAATTTGATTTTACTTTTCCTATTCAAGAGGATCTCCTTCCACCTTCAAATAGGAACTCTGATGCTTTGATCAAACTTCCTTCTTTCCTCCTCCTTCTGAATATCAAGTAACTAGCTAGAGCTTCTATTCCACTCCTGAAATGCCTGTTTGTATTCTTGTCACCACCCCAAATCTCATTCAGCTTTCTAGGTCCAGCACATAAATCACCTTCTGTGAAACTTATCCTGACTCCAATCACCTTCTCTCGCTGGTCTTTTATTCCTTCTGCTCTTATCTTCTGCATTGTGCTAGCACCATATGATTTTGTACTGCACTACAGCTATCTATCCTTAATTATATATCACATACACAACGTGTTTTATTACACGTCCTTTACTTCCCTAATGGTTTCAGGTCTTGTCAACCAGACCATAATTTGTTACTATTATTAGCTTTTTGAGAGGAGTGCTATGATCTTTTCTACTAGCCCAGAGAGAGTGTTGAACTCGAGAGAAAAGGAATCAGAAAAGGAAACTAGAGATTTTCAAGTTCATAACAGTGGTTATTAATTTCCATGGATGCTGAAAACAGGACTCTCTGTCCTTTTGTGACCGTAGGAAGGCTATAGATCTAACACCAGGATTAAGACATTTGTAAGCATAGAAAGGAAATCATACCGCAAATTATTCCGAGCGACTAAGGATAGGAAATGGCTTTACTCTAAAGAGCACTGTGGCAGGAGGGGCTGACCAAGACCCAGATCTTCCTGGAGAAGGACAAGTCTGATGATCTAAATTTTCCTAAATAATTATGACTGACATCTTTTCTAAGACAGGCCTTTTTCAAGTTTTTTACAAGTAGTGACTCCTATTGAACAGTTTTTTTTTATGTGACACAGGAATACAAAGCAAATATTTACTGACAGCAAATCATAAATTTCAGAATAAATTTTTCATGACCTCCAGGTTCAGTGATATGATGCCCCCCAGGGGAACTGCAATCCACCTTTTTAACAAGCGAGGCACTTAGTGACCTTGTGGCATTCCAAAACAATGACCCTGTCCCATTATCCCTTTCTTTTTTTTTAAATTTTATTATTATTATTATTATTTATTGAATCACTTTGAGATACAGTTACAAAGCTTTCATGTATGAGTTTCAATCATACAATGATCAAATACCCATCCCTCCACCAGTGCACATTCTCTACCACCAATGTCCCCAGTATACCTCCCCTTTCCCACCCTCCCCCTGCCTCCATGGCAGACAATTTCCCCCATACTCTCTCTCTCTACTTTTGGGCATTATGGTTTGCAATACAGATACTGAGAGGTTATCATGTTTGGTCCTTTATCTTTCAGCACACATCTCCCATCCCGAACTATTCCTCCAACCATCATTGTCATAGTGATCGCCTCTCTATTCCAACTGTCTTCTCCCCCAGCTCATAAGACAGGCTGCCCAGGACAGTAGACACAAGGGCCAGAAATATTGCCCATTATCCCTTTCAATTCCTCTGTTGGTGGGACTAGTCCGGGACAATGTTTATGGCCCAAGTACTCATCACACCTTTGGCAAGGTCAATGGGGGTCCTCTTTCAATCTGGGATAGCCTTAGGCTAAGGAAGCAACATCTACAATGGGAGCCCCTCAGGTTGTTGTAGGGATGCTGCTTAGTAACTCAAATTTGACTTACTTGTAGGCCACAGTGCAGGTATCCGTGTACTCCTGGAGCTTCACGCACACCATGTTGAGGAACTGATCCGAGTAGGCGCTCAGGTCGTGCATCAGGTTCATGAGGTCCTGCACTGTCTTCTCCACGATGATGGTGCTCTAGGAAGGAATAAGGCCCACAAAAATCCATGAGCTCATGTACTCACCAGAAAGGCGTCAGGCATGGAAGGTCATGATCCCTTAAGATACTTTAGTGTTCTTGGAAACACGGGATATTAAAAAAAAAAATTAAAGCAAGAGAGAAGTAAATCTCTTACATGGAGCTGGTCTTCCAAAGACCCAAGAAAGTATTCTTTAGTGTCAGGATGTAGGTCGGGGCTTTTCAAATGGATTTTATGAAATTCTCAGCATCCCTGAGATCTCTGTTTATTTATCTTTTAAGCAAGAAAACACATATTCAGTTGGAGCCAGAGGTATGATTCCCAGGTATGATTCCCAGGTATGATTCTGGCCTTTGAGACAGGTAGTATAAGGGAAAAAATAATGACAGGAAAAATCTTCCGTGATGTGCTTTCAAAGTTTCAAAACCCTCTATCTAATGAAGAACAAAAACTTAACATTTGTATTGTGCCTTATAGCCTATAGAATGTTTTCCCATACACAGCATATGCTATCTCCCTCAAGACTCACATAATAATCATGATCATCATGAATCGTTTATTGGGTTCTCACAAGTGCAAAGTACAGTGCTAGGTCCTCTAAGTGCCTCAGCTCTTCTAATCCTCTGGACGTGCCTTATCTATCAAGTGAATCCTGTCCTCCTCATCACCACGTTTAAGGATGAATTAGGCTGAGGGAAGGAAACAAAGAGATTGCTCTAGGCCTGGCTCTCTTTCCATTATTCTGCCTCTGAACTCGGCTGTCTCTGTTTTATTTTGTCTTTGGCCTACAGTAATGTCATTTTCTCTGGAGACCAATGTATTGGTGTTGTCACTGTTTCTAGAAACACTGTCCAAATAGATTCACACCTATTATAAAACTGAATCAGAGGGGCTGAAGAGATAGCACAGTGGGTAGGGCATTTGCCTTGCACGTGGTCCACCCAGGTTTGATTCCCAGCATCCCACATGGTCCTCTGAGCACCACCGGGAGTAATTCCTGAGTGCAGAGCCAGAACTGACCCCTGTGCAATGCTGGGTGTGACACAAAAGAGCAAAAAATCAACAGCAACAACAAACTGAATCAGAGATCAGAGAAATATGCAAGGGGAAAAATATCAGCCCATCTTACCATGATGGGACCATGCAGGAAGCCAGTGTTTATCCCTGGGAAGGAAATGGAAATGGGTAACCTCCCATATCTCTTTTTTTCCAGCAGCTTGACCATCACCCTCACAAGCTGCCTCCAGTGCCAAATAATCTCATCAATGGCCATGACCCAGAGACCCAACAATTAATCTCTTGGAAGAGAATGAAGGATGATACACCACAGACATGTCTCCATGCCAGGCTGTTTCATTTGGGACAACCTGGAGTGGGGTGGGTGAGTATTCCTCCCCACCCCGATGGAGCCAGCCCTGGCAGCCAAAAACCTCCAGACTCAACTGCCGCCATGCTCACGGCCACTCTCCGCATGCTTGGGCCGACCCTCACCCATGAGTGAATCTATTCCTCCTGGGGTATAAAGCAGAAGGTAACCAATCTTAGGGGGAAAATACATTTATAAAGATTTATGTACATACACACCTACAAAGTTCAACCTTTAACAACATGATACTAATCTCTCATGGAAGGGCTTAATGTCTCCTGGGTGAAACACAACAATCTTCACACACTTGCCTCTAAGAAACCATTTTTGGATCATTTTTAGCGAATTATTTATAACAAGCAATACAAAATAAATTATTTGGTTCTGCTTTGGGGTTAGGATGAAATATGGTGGCAAGAATGTGTAATGGTGATGGGATTGGTGTTCAAATATTAAATGTAATCAAATATTGTGAACAACTCTATAAAAATAAAATTATAAAATAAAGAATAACATGTTGATATTTAACATAAAAGTTGTTTTCGCTACCTGATAAATTCATGAACAGTTTCACTGCCACGAAAAATAAACATGTATTATGTATTAAACGTGTACCTCCACTACCCAGCCGCTGCCACGCTCCAGGATTTTCTGGACGCTCGGGGCGAGACTCATGTATGACTGAAGCCCCACAGAACAAGATAAGCAGAGCTCTGGGACCTTGGACTCCAGGCTCAATGGACCCGGGGATAGAGATCATCTGCTTGCTCCCACCAACCACAGGTGACAAAGGGATTAAAATCAGGAGTCCCACCCTACACTGCCCTATCTGTTTCCACCAACTGTCAGAGACCCAGGGATTGGATTGCGCACAGAAGACCAATCCTACCCCTACCTGTACCAGATAAATACCTCAACAGCAGACCTCCACTACCTCCATCACTCTACTACTCAGCTGCTGCCATGCTCCAGGACGTGAAGTGGCTGCGCGACATATCATAACACAAATTACCCATCTTCCAGAATTGCCACACCATATCTAATAGGGTTCAAATATGGTTTGAACCATGGGAACACCTACAAAGGTGATTAGAAGCCACCCCAAAAGACTCTATCCTTCTCAGAGAGCCTTGCAAGCTACCGAGAGTATCCCGCCTGCACGGCAGAGCCTGGCAAGCTATCCGCTGTGTATTCAATATGCCAAAACCAGTAATTACAATGGGTCTCGTTCCCCTGACCCTGAAGGTGTCACCAATATCACAGCGTTGAGAAGGATGAGGAAGGAGAGGTTGATAAAATCTCAAGGCCGAACTAGGCTGCCAATTAAAATAGTCACATTAAAAAAAAAAAAGAAGCACATGCACTACAATCTAAAGCTTTGGGCTGAGTTCTCTCCACCATTATTAGCTCATGATTCTTCCAATAAGAGCAGCATTGCATTGGAGTAAATATTACACACATGCTTAGGAGCCTGAACCCTTTCGGCTAATAACTGGCTAGTTAAATATGTCTGTGCTTATACAGAATTCCATAAACTATGGAAGACTTAGCCATAAAAATTAACATTGAAGAAATTTCTTTCTGTGGCTGTGACCTAGGAAAGAGCAAAAGGTATATTATTATGTCTACAGATGACGGGTACAGGGTTTGGGCGAATCTTTTTTTATTTTTAAATTAAAAAGAAAAGGTGGGAGTGTAGTGCTTTCTGTCAAGACAACACAGGGTCAGCCTGAATTATGAGTCAGCATGTGCACGTTAATTCGAGAGGGTTTGTTTCCAGAGTTTTCTTTCCCTCTCCTCTCCAGCATCCTTCCCTCCCCACCCCCACCACCTAAATGCACCTCCAGCTCTTCTTCTGCTCCTCCAAGTAAAATAATCAGAAGGAGAAAAGGTGAAAAGGAAGGAGTACTTGCATCCTATAAGGTAAGCCCCACACGAAACCAAATTACAGTCTCTATAGAATGCCCGCAAGTTGGACTTCCTTTTTGGTATTGATTTTAAGATTAAAGCTCTGCAGCTTCTCCCTGATCCATAATCCCGTTCCTCTGTATTTGTGTGTGAGTGACAGGAATTGATTCTGCTGGCCGACATGTCCCCATGCTGCTAGGAAGAATCTAAAATGCTCATCTGGATTCAGAACACAGGACGCCCTTGCAACACGTGGACAGCCGTGAAGGGAGGAGAGTGGGGTTCAGCTATTCTAACAAAGCCCGCTGAAATTCTAAAACACTGCAGGGGAAGAGGCGCACGGGGAGATTATTTGGATTATTGAGAGAGACTGATTCATCTCCTATTGTGCTCCTGGTAATCAACTCCAGGGGCAGCTTTGGGTAGGCCCCTTCCTTTCTTATGGCTCTATTTAGCCTGCTAATAGATCCAAGGGAAATTCTATGGCTCCTCTTCCTCCCTGGCCCTTCACTCAGGTATTCTACTGCTGCACTGGTCTCCACTTAGGGAGTAATGTGATTGGTCGGCAGGTCATCTCAGCTTGTGTGATCTTCTGGACTCTATGGTGAATTTCTCCGAAGCAAGATTGGTGTCTTTTTCCTGTCATTCCTTCTCCCTTCCTCTCCCTCGATTGCCTGTTTATAATTTCTCACAGTTTTCAGGACACTTGGGATAGTAAGAGAAATGGCACAAATGGCATGAACATATTAACAAATAGAGCCATTGGCATGTTGGCCAGGACAGCACATACCAAGGGCTGCTGCAGTTCATGATCTCTGGGTGGAGTCAGTCTGGTCTCTTTCCAGCCCAGGGTTAGAATTAACCAGGATAGTGCCAACTGCATGTATTATGTCCCCTGGGAATGTTGGCTCTGGGGTAAACAGGAAGCACTGGCAGGGAATGATTAGAACACCAAGGTTCAAAGCTAATGCCTGTGCTCAGTCCCTATGAGTTGTTCTGTGATTACATACAATTTTCTAGCTTGTTGGTTGGCTTGCCTTGTCTTGGGACCCTCTGGGTAATCACTGCTAGATTCTGGTCCAGGAAAATGACACAGTAGTTGGTCAAATGATGGAAATTATTATTATTTTTTGGGGATCCCATTTTTTAAAGTATTTCTAAGATTGGTAACTGACAGATAAATGCTGAAAATATCTGATATCTAATAAGGTTCCTTCTGTTTTTATTTATTTGGTCTCCGTGGCCATGCAAATGATTTATTGACTAGTTATTAATTTTGGGATTTGTTGCCGCTGAATATAATGACTTCCGAATAAGTAACCCCCGATTTTGTTCATTATAATTTTTATTAAATGCATCACGAATGATTGCTATTTGTTTGGAAACAAGTCAGTCCTCATTTCTTGCAACTTATTACCCGGTAATAAAGTCTGATAATGACATGAAAAATGAGGAAAGGAAAATAAAATCCCAGGGTAGCTGATAAAAAAAAATAGCATAACAACAACAACAAGTTACTTTGAAAAATAAACACCTGAAATTTATTATTAAAGAGATACACCAGCAATGTGAACTGAAAAAGAGGTGTTATCAGGACTAGCTCGTTGGTTGGGCAATTGTGAAAAATTTAATGAAGAAAGATGACTGGACCTTTGAGCCTCTTGGCAATCTGGGGCTCTTCAGGAAGATACTAATGTGAGTAGCAGAGAAAATGGGCTTCCAGC